TCAGTTGTACTTCATCTGAATTTAAAATGTTTGCTCTTCAAAAGTTGCTCTTTAAAAGTCACTGTTAACACAATTCCTATCAAAATCCTAGGAGTGTTTTTTGTAGACATAGCAAGTTTATTCTAAAATTTATATGGAAAGATAAAAAGTATCTGGAAACAATTTTGTATAAGAATAGTAAATTTGGAAGAATCATACTACTTGATTTTAAGACTCCTAAACTCAAGACAGTGTGGTACTGATCAAGTGGTAGAACAGTGAAACAATAAAAAGTCCAGAAATAGACCCACACAAGTATAGCCAAATGAATTTTGACCAAGATGCAAAAACAATTCAATGAGAAAGGATACTCCTTACAACAAATGGTATTAGAACAATTAGACATCTATAGCCAAAAAAATAGACCTTGGCCTAAAACTCATACCTTATACAAAATTAACATAAAAGGTGTCATAGATCTAAATGTAAAACTATGGAAGCTATGTAAAAAAACATAGTAGAAAATTTTTTGATTTAGGGCCTAAGTGATGATTTCTTACACCAAAAGTAAATTCCATAAAGGAAAAAAATTGAGAACTTGGCCTTCATCAAAGTTAAGAACCTTTATTCTGTGAAAAGAGAAGCCACAAGCTGGGTGAAAATACAGTTGACTCTTGAACATTGCAGGGGTTAGGGGCACTGACCTCACGCACAGTTAAAAATCTGCATTAAGCTTTTGACACCCCCAAAACTTGGTTCTCCCTTGGTATCCAGGATCATTGGTGGACTCTCTGCCACGGATTGAAACAGTACAGGTATTTATTGAAAAAAAGCCACATATAAGTGAACCTGCACAGTTCAAATCCATGTTTTTCGAGGATCAACTATTTGCAAATTGTATCTAACAAGGACACACATCCAGAACATATAAACAGCTCCCTAAACTTAACAGTAAGAAGTCAATTCAATTAGAAAATGGGCAAAACATTGAACAGACACTTCAGCAAAGAACATATACAGATGGCAAATAAGCACATGAAAAGAGGTTCAGTATCATTAGCCATTAGAGAAATAGAAATGTAAAGCCCTGATGAGATACTGCACACCTACTAGAATGGCTAAAATAAAAAATACCAGCTTGAGTAATTGTTGATAGGATGTGGAGGAATTAGATCTTTCATACATTGCTGGTGGGAATGCAAAATGATAACAGCCACTCTAGGAAACAATTTGACAGTGTCTTATAAAGTTAAACATGGATGTGCTGTATCTTCATCTTGGATATTTGCCTTAAAGAAATTAAAACTTACTTTCACACAGAAATCTATAGACAAAGATTTATAGTAAGGAGTCTTATTTGTAATAGCCAAAACAGGTGAATGGTTAACTGCTGTATGTAATGGTTAACTGCTGTATGTTCATACAACAGAATAATAGTAAGAAAAATAACAAACTATTGATATACCAGCAATCTGGAGGATTTCAGGGCATTATACTGAATGAAAAAGAAGGCAGTCTCAAAAGATTACATATTATGTGATTCTATTTATATAACATTTTTTTT